GGGCAAAGAGGGTACACAGATTCCTCATGCTTTTGAAGAAACCCAAAGGCCTCACCCGGGCGTCTTGGCACTGAGCTGTGTGTGTAAATGCGGGACCTGCCTGCACATTTCAACTGACTCCGGGAGACTACTTCTAGTCTATCCCCACCCCAAAAGGGGGTGCCTGGCATGTGGCGCTTGTTAAGGATTTGTACTGAACTTGTTTTTTAAACATAAGCCATGGGTTCAGGGTGCGCCAAAGGAAACATACCAGTGCAGAGTACACCTCATCAGCTCCCCGAACCGCAGGCACTAGTCTGGCTGCACTTGGAGCCAGTTAAGAGCAGCGAGTGGGAGAGAGGGAGGGAGTTGGCACTGCTGGAACAAGAACTTGGCAGGGGAGAGCGGCAGCTGCTCAGCCCACACCTCCTGTGGCCATACCTGTTAATTCTAGTTCAGGAGCCGCTGGAGGAGGCACAGGAAGGAAGCACATTCAACACCCCTGACTCCAGCGTCCAACGCCAATACTGAAATAACACAGAGGAAAAGCCAGTGCGGTTGGGAATTGCACTGCTTGGTACCAAAAGGCCGTGCTGTAAGTCAGGAGGGCAAATCCGTGTCGGAGCCGGATGGTGACTGGAGGGCGGGTATGCAGTTGTAAAGGGATTAGTGTTAGACTGCACTCATTCATCATGGCGGTGTACATCGCTAGGTCACTTTTATGACTATAAATGTCTCTTTATAGGACTCTGCTGTCAGCTGAGACTCTCAGCCATTTTGTGTTCATTTCAGTGCAGACTGTTACAGATAACATAAACACAGGCCCCATACCCCGCTGGGGCCTCTATTTTTGTTCTTTCTTTTTCCGTTGCTCCCTTAATCTCACGCAAATGGCTGAAAAGATGTTAGATTGCACATCCACAAAGAGCAAAATCACAATTTCTTTTAAGATAGAAGCAAATTCCAGAATCAATGACACAGAATGCCCAAAACATACAGACTTAGGCGCTGTCAACTTGAGCAGTCTAGCTGATCTCACCTACTGGGATAGGGTATCCAGGACAACATAAGAAAGGCCATAGTGGGTCAGACCAATGGTCTATCTAGCCCAGGGGTCGGCAACGTTTGGCACGCGGCTCGCTAGGGTAAGCACCCTGGCGGGCTGGGCCAATTTATTTACCTGCTGACGCGGCAGGTTCGGCCAATCGTGGCCCCCACTGGCCGTGGTTCGCCGTCCCGGGCCAATGAGGGTGGCGGGAAGCTGCGGCCAGCACATCCCTCGCCTACGCCGCTTCCCGCCACCCCCATTGGCCCAGGACGGCGAACCACGGCCAGTGGGGGCCACGATCGGGTGAACCTGCCGCGTCAGCAGGTAAATAAACTGGCCCGGCCCGCCAGGGTCCTTACCTTGGCGAGCCGCGTGCCAAACGTTGCCGACCCCTGATCTAGCCCATATCCTGTCTTGTGACAGTGTCAAACCTTCAGCGGGAATGCACAGAACAGAGCTATTTCCTGTGGTCCATCACCTGTCATCCAGTGCCAGTTTGTGGCAGTTGAAGGTTTAGGGACACTTGGAACATGGGGTTCAACATCTTGAATCACATCCAGAAACCAACTGCAAGCCAGTGTAATCTATAATGCACTAGTGTCCTCACTGTTACGTAATGTGCATCTGCATTATGCTCGAGCTTCCAAAGATCCTCGAATGTAGACCCAGGTAAAGTGCTGGAGATGCCAAACCCTGGCGGAGGAGGGGGACCTCTGAGCCCATCCCTGAGCCTTTGTCAAAGCCTCCAACTGACCTCAAACCATGGATTTGCCTCAGAAGAACATTATGGGCTGGTAATTAGAGTCGGGGGAGGGGAGAGAGTTAGGAATGAGAGCTAGGTTTGCCAACATGGTAATATTTAAAAAAGAGGACACTCCAGCAGGAGGGCTGCAGCCTCTCCTGTCCCACCTCTTCCCCGTGAGGCCCCCATCCCTTCCCTGCCCATTCCCCCCAAAAGCCCCACCCCATCCACTCCTCTTCTCCCCTCCTCCCTGTCACTTGCCGCTTTTCCCCTTCCATCCCCCAGGTAGGCGGCGGCCTCGGCTGAGTTGGGGCTGGCACGGATGATGACCCAGCGCCTCCCCCGCAGTAACTGGACACTGGGTGTCCGGTCAGTAGCTCTGACCAGTCGGGGGCCCCTTTTCAACTGGACTTTCCGGTTCAAAACTGGGCACCTGGCCACCCTATCGAGCGCTCCTGGGTTCCGGTCCAGCTCTATGGCTACACCAGGAGCCTAGGCCTCAGCACGCCTGGGCTCTAGTCACCGCTCCGGGAAGGTGCCTGGGCTATGGGTGAGTGCGGGGGGGCCTGGACGGTGGGGCCCATGGGTGCCGTTACGGACTCTGTGTGACCTTGGGTAACTCACTTCTCCCGCTCACCCCCCGGCTGGGCATTGCATGTACCGCTGGCAGAGTGGCTCAGTGTGTTTCGCTTCCAGGGCTGGTTTCTCCAGTGGCCAAGTCCGGCCAGTGATGGGGGAGCCTAACAACCCCCCCGCCCCCCATTCCCCCAGGATAGGGGCTGGCTCCAGGCTACTAGCCTGGGCTGAGCCCGGCTGGGTGGCAGCTGCCAGCAGATGAGGGGGGGGCAGTGCCAGACCAAGCCCCGGACCCAGGGAGCCTGGGAAAGCCCGTTGTCCCGTCCTGGGCCTCGGGGGGGGGGGGGAAGGGAGGGACGCTGGCCCTTTAACGCTGCCCCGCCCGCCCCAGACACGGGCCAGCGCTGACCGCTCAACCTAACCCTCCCTCCCCAGCGGCCCCGCCCATCCTCGCTGCCGATTGGTCGCTGTGTGGCCTTGAGCCCAGCCTTGCGCGGTCCCAGCCAATCAGCGCGGGTGGAGGGGCTGACAGTGAGTGTGTATGTGGCGGCTGAGAGCCGGAGAGCGGAGGAGCCGAGGGTTAGTGAGGTCTGTGCTGGGGGAGCCCGGGCCCCTCCCGGGAACGGGGCTGGGAATCTCCCTCCGGGGGCTGGGCTGGCGGGGAACCCCCCCCCCGGGGGGCTGGGCTCGGGGGGAATCTCCCCCCCCCCCGGGGGGGGGGGGGGGGGGGGGCCCCCCCCCCCCCCCGGCGGGGCCCCCCCCCCCCGGGGGCGGGGGGGGGGGCCCCCCCCCCCCCCCCCCCGGCTGGGCTGGAGGCAGAGCCAGCGCTAGGACTAAATAGACTTATCAATGGCTTAAGGCCCCAGCAGCTCGGGGTGGGGGTTGCTTTATTAATATGGGGGGGGCCCTCAAATATTCCTGCTTAGGATCCTCAATGGGAGCTCGCCCCTCCCTGGGGCTGGGCTGGCGGGGGGGGTTCCTGGGTTGGAAGCGGGGGGTTGGGCTCTTTACCCTGGGGCTGGGCTCCGCTCTGCAGGAGGTGGGGGGGCAGTTGGCTGGTCTGAAAGGTTTTTCCCTGGGGTTCAGGAGAGGGAGGAAGGGACCTTGGCTGGTCCCTCCTGGGGAGCTGGAGAAGGGGACTGGGGAAGTGGGGGGGGCAGAGGGAAAGCGGTGGCCCCCTTTGGGCAGTGACTTATTTCTAAAGGGGAATGTGTGGGGGTGGAGGAACCACGCCCTGTTCCCCATTGCTCTGCCCCCCCGGCGCTCAGTGTTCATTCCCTTCCCCACTCCGGGAAGGTGCGTCTCCCGCCTCTGGTGCCAGGCGCTGGGTGCCCGCTTGCTGACAAGGCACGCCTCAAAATCACTGCCTCAGCAGTGGGCCCACGGTCAGCCTCCGCTCTGCTTCTTGCGGGCCATCCCAGGGCACTGGTGGAGTCACCCCATTAACCAATCCCTTTGAGCCCTCTCCAGAACCATCCCCAGCTACAGCCTTCAGTTTGGTAGCGTCTTCTGCTGGTTCCTGGGAGGTGACTTCGCTCTCGGGCACTTCCCTCTTAAGTGGCTAGCAGCAATCAGCTCAAGAGACTGGGCTAAAGTCCACTGCAGTCACACCCTGTGCTCTCACTCTGCTCTCAGTCGCTCCCACACAGCCCTGCTGAAACCAGTGTGGGAGGCACAGCCTGCTTTGTCTGTATTAAATGCCAGGAGGGGAAATCAGGGCTTTAATGCCCCGGAAATAAACAAACGGAGGAGGATTGGGGCCCCTATTGGTACCACCAGGGCTCAAATGCCAATGCTTCATGCAGGCAGCGGCTGAGACGTAACCGCAATCTCAGACAGTTGTGGATCACACTAAACATAAACACCGTGCCTTTTTTGGAGTGGGCAAGGACAAATTCTTACGCTGTGGGGAGAAATGATAAACAAAACTCATTGTGGCTGAAAGAACAACTAACAAAAAAGTAAACTTAAATCCTACATACCGCATAGCACATTTGCACTCCTACTATTTGCTTTATTTATTGCTTCTTGGCCAAAGGTCAGTATCTTAAAGAAACCCTTTATATATGTGCTTTGGGGCGATGTGGTCCTACTAGATTGTAAACTTTCGTAGCGGGTTTGTGTGCGTGTAGAGCACCTAGCACTGTATGGCTCTGATCCAGACTGGACCCTCTGAGAGCCCCATTATATGATGACAATGCAGAACCTTAGCCTGAAGTGATCTCTGCATGGGAAAACCCATCCCTGCACAGACCCATTAAAGTCAGTGGGGTTCAGCATGGGTTTGTAAGAGGATTAAGGCTTTAATAATTTGTTGGGTTTTTTTCCTACTCATAATTCTGATGGCAACAAATTGCTACTCTAAGCCCCAGTCATACTATCATTGGTTTTACAGGACTTTCAGTCTAGTTGCTTTAGTCCCAGTTGTAATAAGAACAAAACTCTTGGGCAAGTTCTTGTCTTATTTAATTTGTAAGATGAAATCATCTTGATTGTTTCAGGCTGATGTTGAATATCGATTATATTTATCAGATCAAGCTATTTAAAAGAGAAATTGTTACATTCCCATAAATGTAAACGGGGGGGGGGGGGGGGGGGGGTGGAGCAGAAGACCATCACTCAGAATTCTGTGACTAAGAGCAGACAACCAAGGACTTACAAAATGATCATGCAAAAATGTGCATTGGGCTGGATTCTAACAGCAGGGCAGTAGCAAATCAGCTGTAGGTTCTGGGATACCGAAGTTTTATCATAACCAAAGACACCCAGCTCCTGGGATGGATCCACAAGGTCAGCATGATCTTTCTTTCATCTTGGACTTATTTGCAATAGTGCTAAACTAGAATTTCTGGAATGAACCCTTATTAAAATGAGCACTGTAGCATCATGCAAAGTTTTTTCGGACAATGATGAAACATTCTAGGCTCCATAGGTTGCGACAGTGACAGCCTCCCTTCCTGAAGTGGATACAAATGCCACTGTCAGTGCAATTGTTGAAAAGTGATTCGTGTTGCAGAGCATTCTGGTGACTCGATCAGTGTATCAGACGTGTACTGGCTTAATTGTGTGCCTATTGCCAGGGTGCTGTGCTTTTGGTCTGTTGTCACTGTTCTGCAGGGTGGTGAATAAACCTGTTGTTTTATGACCAATACAACTAAAATGTCTGTTTTCTCTTACAGGCTCTAGTATAAAACATGAGGCTCTATGAGGGACGAACCAGATCTTTCCAGGCTCCTGTCACTGTCCATAATTATCCCAGCAGCCACGTTTATGTGTTTAGAAATGGCCGATCAGATCCAGATGAGTCATCAGAGGAGGAATCTGAATTCATGGAATTACGTCCAAGGGGCAAGGAGCAGCAGAGAAGCAATTCTTCCCAAGAGAGAGCTGGGGATGTGGTGCTACTGGAACGAGAGCTCACCGAGGGCGATAACCTTAACAAGCTAGCCCTGCAGTATGGGTGTAAAGTAAGAGCCGCAGCTAGATGATGCAGCTGCTTTAATTTCTTCCCTTAGTCTTGTCTTCATGTGTGTTTGTTTTGTAAGCCCTTGTGTTTAGGGATATGTTATGTGTAGCTTAGTTTCCGTGCATACAGAGAGAGGCTCCAGTTGTCTGACACAGAAAGATGACTGCTTCTGTGTGTGTCCTGTATTTATTGATACCCAGGTATAAACCAAGGTGATGCAGGGTGCAAATGAGTCTTGTAATTAATAACACAAGGAAAGTGTATTCACTCCCACGCCCAGCATGACCTGGATTCCTGTATAATTCGGATGACTAAGTGTGTTACAGCTCTCAGGTAACGCACAATTATTATTAACTTGTTGAGGAGGACAACATCTGTACTGAAAAAGGGAAACGAGTGCTGATCGTAATGAGTGTACACTCTGTTAAGCAAACAGAACAATATACTCTGATTACAGAGGGATCTCATAAAACTGAGTGGGCAACAAACTGGCAGATTCAATTCAGTGTTGATAAGTGCCAAGTAATGCACACTGGAAAAAAATATTGCAACTATACATATACACTGAAAGGTCCAAATTAGCTGTTACCACTAAGAAAGAGATCTGTGAGTCACTGTGGACATAGGCGCCGACTCCGTGGGCACTTCGGGGCTGGAGCACCCACTGGGAAAAATTGGTAGGTGCTCAGCACCCACCGGCAGCTCCCCGCCCAGCTCACCTCTGCCTCCCTTCAGCGCACCACGTGCCTGCTTTTTCCCACTAGCTCCCAGCGCTTGCGCCGCGAAACAGCTGTTTCGTGCGGCTGGGAGGGAGGAGGGAGGAGGGGGAACGAGGCGTGCTTGGCGAAGTGGGGATTTGGGGAAGGGGTTGGAATGGAGGCGGGGCAGGGGCGGGGAAAGGGTGGAGTCGGGCCGGGGCTGTGGGTGTGGGGGCGCGAGCTCCCACCGGCCCTAGGGAAAGTTGGCGCCTATGACTGTGGATAGTTCTTTTAAAAACTAACTGCCCGCCGGGACTCCACCCCCTATCCAACCCTCCCGCTCCCGAATGTCCCTTTACCGTGCTGCTCAGAGCGGCAGGACTGGCTTATTGGAAAGCCTAGGAGGTGGGCATAAGCCATGCAGCCCGGCAGGAGCGGTGGGCCAGAGTGGTCCCCACGCGGCAGCGGGGGAGGGGGGACAGCAAGGGAGGTCTGGGGGTTAGCCTCCCCGGCCGGGCGCTCAGGGGCCGGGCAGGATGGTCCCGCCGGCCGTAGTTTGCCCACCTCTAGTCTAAAGAGATTAGAGCTGTTTAGCCTTAGAAAAGAGACTACTCAGAAGGATCTGGTTGTCTATAAAATCATGAATGGTGTGGAGAAAGTGAATAGAGAAGTGTGCATCCTGCATTCTCATCTCCTCGCCTCCTGTAGCCAGCTGCCACCTTACCTGTGCTGATTGCTGGCTTGTGTCTCCAGTGCTGGCTATCAGCCAACTGGCAAAGAAAAAGTCTTCAAGTGTCCATTGAGCATCCACTGCATTGACAAAGGGACTCCTGCTGCAGCTGTTGTGAAGCTGCTGGAGGGCTCCCTGTACTGTATTTACATATTGTTGTTTAAAAATTAGTCTGTACCTTGAGCAGGCAAGGAAGATGCAGCTGCCGGAGCATCTTGGCTCATTCAGGAAGAAAAATGTGTGTTGTTTTTTTCTTTAAGAGAAATTTACTGAGTTCTTAGACTGATTTTCAGTGCCAAATGCATATACAAGTGTTAGTGCAGTAATGTGCCTAAATGCTAAGAAAATAACGCCTGGAAAATACTGTCCCGAGTGCTGGTTCTGCTGCTGGGTTTATTGCAGTTGGTTAATTTGTTACATTGCCCTTCTGTCCTGTCCTGTCCTTTCTCTGCTCCCCCCCACTTGTTATCTTGAGGCACCTTTGTAAGCCTCCCCCAACTCAGGTTTGATGGTGTCCCTGGAAACTTGACACTAATGCTCTTTTCTCAGGCAGAGCATTCACCTTTTGCGAGTCACCTTTTCTTGCTGCTTGAGGACCAGAACCAGGGCCCAAGTTTGAGCATCACATTAGGCTGCACTTGTGGTTTACTGTGTTGCCTTTTCATCTCTCCCATGATGTCCCGAGGGTCCAAGGTTCCACAGTGTGTATACTGCCTCCTACAATGACACCCAGTAACTCAACCCCAAGGTTTTGTTTCCCAGGCTGTAACCAGGCCTGAATTCTGTTCAGGGCCAATTTCGGATCCTTCTTATAAGTTTGGTAGTATTGAGGGGTATGTGAATGCTAGGTTTGATCATTATAATTTAGATTATGGGAGTAACTAGGAGCTCCCATTCAGTTCAGGTCCCTATTATGCTAGGAGCTGTATAGACACAATCCCTGCCATGAGACGTGAATGAAAGACAAAGACATAGTGGGGAATAAAAAGCAGTGGGAGGTTCTGGGTAAACAAGAAATCATGTTACTGGAGAGATTATCATCCAATTAATTTTTCCAGCTGTGTGCTGTTATCTGTATTAATTTGATTCTCTCCATCCACCACTATGTCATGCCAGCCATGTCTTGCTACCAATCTTTGCTTTTTACTCTGTTTAGGCAATTACAGGGTTTGGGGGGGCAGCTACACAAGGGGTTAGTGAATCTCAGGTGCCTAACTCCCAGAATCAGGCCCTACTAAGTCTTTTTGTGAATCTAGCCCTAGGAACCGAACTCCCCTTGACAGTCAACATGCAGACATCATTTTTGAAGATGAGATGTAGGCTCCTCGGTCAGACAGACATCACAGCACTGAGAACAGCAATACTTAAATATTTTTAAACATCTGGGCCTGACTGTGTCCCAAGGATTTCCCCAGCTGAGTTAAGACAGGAACAGTAGAAAACCTAGGGATGGGAATGACAAAGCTGAAGACAAATACAACTGATGGTTCCTGGAGACACTACTGAACGTGTCTTGAAGGTTACAACTTTCAATATGTGAAGGACTGTAACTTATAAGATTCACTGGGGATCTTAACCTTGCTAGGAAATCTCTGACTGCAGAGTCAGAGGGCTGCAAGAACAGTGTTAGGACAGTGAGCCAGGCTCCCCAGAGCAGCAGGTTTGAGTCAGTGTTTGTTTTCACTGTTGACATTTTGTATTTTCCTGGTTTGTTCTTGAGGCAATATTGGTAAAGGATTGTGATGCCTTAGGTTTACGTGTTTCTCCTTCCTGAATTCCGTAGGTTGCAGATATCAAACGTGTCAACAACTTCCTCTGTGAGCAGGACTTGTATGCTCTGAAGTCTATCAAGATTCCAGTCAAGGCCCACGGGGTGTTAACGGAGACCAGCAAAGAGTTAAAACCTCCTCAGAATGCTCCTTCCCAGGCTGGAATGACACTGATTGAACTACCAGAGCCTGATGATGGAGCCACCAGCAGCAGCTACAGTGAAAGCAGATACCTGACTGACTACTTTAAGGGGATTGACCAGACCATTGAGGATGTAGTGCAATCCAAAGTCCATTTAAATGCAGATTATTGCATAGAAGCACCAAACTGCCCACCATCAGGTTCAGGGGGGCAAAAGAAGCCCAATAATGGTGCAGACTGTGGAATCCAGTGGTGGAATGCCGTTTTTATCATGCTCCTGATAGGAATAGTCTTGCCAGTATTTTATATTGTCTATTTTAAAACACAACAGACTGGGGCAGCAGCCCATACCTCAAACACAACCTTTACCTTGAATAGCTCAGCTCATGAATTGGGGGGGAAATTGTCACAGCACCTACCAATCGTGGAAACCCCCAAAGCGAAGATACAGCCTAGTACTACCTCTCCGCCCAACACTGATGCCCATAAACCAGTAACTCTGACCCTACCGGATTCAGGTGGCTAATTTTTTTTTTTTAAGTGAGCTAATGATCTTGACTGAACATAGGGTGACATGTTTTCTCTAAATGAATAAAGATGTGTTGTAGATTACCAAGTGCAACAGACATTTGGCTCTGCGTTTATAAACCCTTCCAAGGGAAAGTAGCTTGCCCCAGCTTACTCTCAAGAGTGGCCTTGTCTAAAAATCTGAACTAGGCAGACACAGCGGAGTGTGTGCTCTTAAATATTGTATGGGTTATTGATTGGAATGATGCAATCTAATAGCGCATGAGAAGACACATTTTATATGGATGGAGCATTTTCCCTGCCACAAAACAACATTTTTCATTCTCTGGCAGAACCGAGTGGGTCCTGCATATTTAACCCTACGTATGCCTTTATAGCTTGATAGACTAGCTCTGGTCCATGGCACTATTAAAACTAAACAGGACACTTGATATCTCCATATCCCTTTACTCTTATCAATGACAGTATTAAGATAAATTGAGCTAGAATGATTGAGGGTCTTAGCCTGCTGTGAGCGCCATGGAGGCAAGGATCAGCCTGTGCAGGGGGGCCCTGTGACTTCATTAGGGCTCCCTGCAGGTACCTAGTCAGGCCAGAGCTCTCTGCAGGAACTGGTCCTTAGGTCGGTTATTCCTCAGTAATAGCCTTTGCTCAATAGTGACAGCAAAAGTTCTGTTCAGCCACACAGTCCAACCTGCAGTGGCCGACTCGGCCTAAAGACATCTTGAGCCTAGCGTCCCTGGGCTGGCTTCGTGGACTAGTCGGCAATCCCTTTGTCTAGGCACAGTGAGCCATCTCAAGCACTGCGTTTCAGTCTAAACAGGGTATCCTTGCTCTTAGGAGTTTAAACTAGATGGGTCAGTGAGGAGTTTTCCATTCTGTACAGTAATAAAAAGGGGAAACAACCCCCCAGCTATTGTAGGAGTTCATGAGGAGCATAACTTGTACAAACCTGGTGTAGGCTAATTTTAGGGATTTTTAGTGCCTGTGTAGAGAGTCAGCCATGTTTCTGATCACCCATCTCCATCCTGAAATAAGGTCTCTTGCGTGAGTACACATGGTTGTGACAGAGCCGAAGATGTTCTTGATGCATTCTGGTCTGTTGAACGGAGGCCCACAGGTTTCTGGTATATTTTTCAAAGATTTGTTTACAGTAAATGCTGAATGCGTGGAAAGGTTCCTTACAGTATATGCGATAAATGTGGATGAAGACTAAGCTTTGGGTTGTTTGAATCGGCAGTAAAAACCTCTTAATTGGTGTAGCCATTTTAAAAATAAATTCAGAACTGTTTCTCATGGCTAACCCCTGCCACATAAATTGACATTTTGAAGTTGTAGAATTGAACATACTTAAGGAAACATTGTGCATAACATAAGCAAAATCCCCATAACATATTGCCTAAATAGAAGCTAACTTTCAGCATAGAGCCAATTTTAAGGATGTTAGACTTTCCCCAGGCCTAGACACGGACATCCCAGGAAGTGCAATTAGAATACATTTGTTTACCAGCCTGATTGTCTTAAATGATACTAGCTGAAATTATGATATGAAAAGCACAAGGGTGCTGAATGCAGAAGGTAGCTGGGTTCCACCCCCCACCTAACTGGAGGATGGTTATAGAATTAGTACTGTTGTAACAGGGTACAAATCACAGATTAATAAGATGCTCCTTAGAAAATACATAAAGGTTTAAAGCAAACTACAGGGGAAAGGGTTTTTTCTCTCTCTCTTTCAAACACTCAGATACAGGAGTCAATAGTTTTAGATGTATTTAATAACACAAAATTAAGCAGGTAAAGGAGGAAATGATAGAAGACTGAAAAATAACTTTTGAAATGATTTGTTGAATTAAGGAATTGCCTGCTATTGTCGTGCCACTAGAGGGCACTGTTGTCACAAATACACAAGTCAATGAGGCAACGTGAAGGAAATTCAGATCTTAAATTTATGAGCACCGTGGTTAGTACTAACCATCTCTGTCCCAAATTAAGGTTCTGAGATGGGTGTTGAAGTTAAGAGAGAGAAGTTCTGTCTTTAAGATCGATTATGTCAGTAATAAAGTCTTGCTGGCCTGAGGCAAATGCATGGACAGCATTTGTGTTTCTAATGAAATGATGAAAAATATATCTGAAAAACTAGCTTCTTGCTGCAAAGGGAGCTGGGAGGTACAATGCATAAAGTAAACAGCCCCTTCCTGAGTTACAGGGTTAAGTCTCGGTCCTGATCAATATTCTTCCTGCAGCAAGTAGGACGCTCTTGTCAGGCTGAAGGGGGCTTGAGGGAACATAAACGAAATTACCATTTTTCTTCTGTGAAGGAAAACTGGGCCCTTCTGTAGGTTCATATTACATTTTTAAATGAAGAAAAATTCAATAAAAACACCACGGGAACTATCCTGGACTGCTGTCTGTTTCTTTAGCAGCATATTTTGAACTACACTCGGTTGTTTAATGTTGCAGTTTTCCTTAAAAAGAAAAGCGAGTTTTAGGACAGAACGGGGGCCAGACACTGGTCCGATTAAGAATTTGTTTCAATTATAAACATTTACTTTACAGGGAAACATAATCACAAAGAAGGCAGAGTAGTATGGCCATTAGTTGTGGGACCAAAATATCCAAGCATATCCAGTTCCACATTGCAGAATGCTGGCTAAAAATATTAAGTGTTTTGAATATGTACATTCCTGTTCACTACTGAAGTGGAAAACATAATATAAAATTTAAATCTTTCACTCTAGGAGGCAGACTAGAATGTTGAAAGTTCAGCTCTGAAATGTGACTGTAAAAATCACCCTTGTTTACTGTGTTTCCTTATCAAACACGTTACGTTTTCAAGATAATCCATCAAATTGCCACCCATGATTAAATTCAGCCTGGGACTGGAGAATCAAGCTGGATTCCTCCTTTGTCAGATAGCAACACTTAAAATAAAGCATTTGCAGGCTATTTGTCCCCTCATTGATAACCTGTGCCAGCAGGGCCCTTGCTTTCAGGGAGTTACACGGGTGAAAACATTTGGAAACCAGCGAACAATTCTGTTGGCACACAAAGAGGAACAGAATCCAGAGCAGACGCTCTCAGCCATGTTGGCTCAGCAGGCGTAACAGGAATAAAAAGTAATAAACTTAAACCAGTGGTTCTCAACCTGTGGCCCCCAGGCCACTTGCAGCCCAATCAGCACACAGCTGTGGCCCATGTGACAGCCTCAGGGCCAAACAGGTAGTATTGGATGCAGCCCACAATGATAAACAGTTTGAGAACCACTGACTTAAACACTGAAGTCAGCATGGCTGAGTTCAAGGTGCATGGGGAGCTGAGCTGCTGATTAAGGTGGTGCCATTTTCACAGAATTGCTCTTTTGGGATCATAATCCCAGTTCATAGGAGTCAGTGTGCCATGCCTCCCTCCCTGCCCCCATGACCAATCTATGTTATAATAAAAGCAAAGTCTTTATCTCCAAAACCTCAGAGCTACAAGATACAGAAAACTGCTATCCACCACCCCTACAAAAATGTATTTAGAAACAACTAAACAAACTTGCTTTGCCTGTCAGTTCTAGCTGCCTATTACAGCCTTCCTTAGCTGTGACGATTACATGTTCACCAAAATCCGTGTTAAGAATTGTTCAGCGAAGCGTCACCTGAACAGCTTGTTCATGCCCCTTTGGAGGGAGCCCCTCTAGGCACTACACACCTGGGGAAGAGAATTACCTGTGCTTCCTCCACCACTGCAGAGCAAAGTCCCAGCTGCACATCTTAGAGCAGTGAGTCTCAAATTTTTGTACTGGTGACCCCTTTCACATAGCAAGTCTCTGAGTGTGACCCCCCTCCCCTTATGAATTAAAAACACTTTTTTATATATTTAACACCATTATAAATGCTGGAGGCAAAGCGGGGTTTAGGGTGGAGGTTGACAGCTTGCGACCCCCAGTGATAACCTTGTGTCTTAGAGCATAGAATATCAGGGTTGGAAGGGACCTCAGGAGGTCATCTAGTCCACCCCCCTGCTCAAAGCAGGACCAATTCCCAACTAAATCATCCCACCCAGGGCTTTGTCAAGCCTGACCTTAAAAACCTCTAAGGAAGGAGATTCCACCACCTCCCTAGGTAACCCATTCCAGTGCTTCACCATCCTCCTAGTGAAAAAGTTTTTCCTAATATCCAACCTAGACCTCCCCCACTGCAACTTGAGACCATTACTCCTTGTTCTATCAGCATGCGTGTAAGGGAGCCACTATGACTTGGCTACTTCCCCTCTAGGCGGCTCAGTTAACCCCATCCAAAGCTGTAGACATGACATACCACATGTGAAAGCTACTGCATATGTTGAGAGTGCAATTTGCAGAGGCTCAGCGCGCTGGCCAAACAAAATACCCTGAGACCATACAAAGGCACTTTGCCTCAGTGAGGCTGGTTCTGTGCTGCCAGCTTCAGCTTTTGATGCCCCGCAGTTTTCGCTTCAGGTGTCTTCACTTTCGGGTACTCAAAACTAGGTAGGAAAGGGTTTTGCTCACACGTCCTAGCAAAGGTAATCGTTAGGCAGCGGCAATGAGAGGCCCATTTCAGCATCAAAGCCACATGCTTTGAAAAGTTAGTGGCAGCTGACGATAGAGTAAAATGGAAACTGTTAAGCAATCACAACTGTAGTCATTACTGCTCCTGTGATGACATGTTTTTATGTTGAACATCACTATGTTCATGCATTTTTAAAGCTACCAATCTCATAGGCTTAGGCACCGCATCCCTTTGTGCCTGAAGTCACAAAAATGGTGGTTTGCTTCATGACGAGAACGGCACATCTGGGTACTGAGCAGCATTTGGCTGAGCTGAAGTTTTACATCAGCTGAAAACTAATGTACAGTATTAAGCTCCAATCCTCATCATTGACTGGTGTTTCCACATTTTGCAACATACTGATTTTATTGCTCTTAGGCAGGGGTGGCCGACCTGTGGCCCCGGAGCTCTTCAGAAGTTAAAATGCAGCTCCTTGTATAGGCACCGACTCCGGGGCTGGAGCTACAGGCGCCAACTTTCCAATGTATCGGTGGGAGGGGTGCTCACTGCTCAATCCCTGGCTCTGCCCCCACTCCACCCCTTCCTGCCCCCTCCCCTGAGCCTGCCTTGCCCTCGCTCCTCCACACCCTGAAACAGCTGATCTGGGGAGGCGCTGATTGGCAGGGCTGCCGGGGGGGGGCGGGGTGGGAGAGGGTGCTGATGGAGGGCTGCTGCCGTATTACAGTGGCTCTCTGGCAATGTATGTTGGTAAAGTCTGGCTCCTTCTCAGGCTCAGGTTGGCCACCCCTGCTCTTAGGGCTGCAGAGGCTACAACCCTGCAACCTTTCATTCACTATTTCTGAATCTGGCCATTACAACACACAGTTAAAAAAGAGAGCGAAAGTAGCCCGTACAGCAGATCAGCCTGTGCTAGCGGTGGTTGTCAGTTGACCAAATTTGATCAAATATATTTCAGTAAAGCAGTAACAGTCACACTGCAGGTTTCAGACTGCAGTGAATTGCCTGGGAATGTATTGCTGGCAGGGACGAGGTGATTGTCACAGGGCCATTAACTACAGCGTGTCAGTAATCCCCAGATAAGGCTTTACTCCAGTGTTATCACTGCTATTAAAGAACACAAGTAGATGGGTGACATTATTTCACTTGGGATGTGCTGGGCATTGCTATAGTCTTAAGGCCCTGTATGTTAGCCATCACTCACTACTGCATTCACCTTTTATTAGTCACCAGGTTGTGCTGTATTTCCCGACAGGTCAGCAAACAAGTGAAAAATGCAGATCAAGCTTACTGGAAACATTCTATAAAGAGATGGAAGATCCCTTATCTACAAAGGTACTCAAACTGGTGTCTTTGCAATACTAACCTGGGCCCAAGGAACAATGTTAAAGTAACAAGCTGGAAATGATAAGATAAGCATGTGATCACCTCCATGTTAAAGCCATGTGTGCTGTAAAAAATAATCAACACAGTGGATTTCCCCCCCATGTGCATGGTGGACAGGTGAACTGTCTAGATTACTGAAACCCATCCCACAAATCACAGCTAAAGACGGCACATTGCTCACCAACCCCTCTGCCCCCCCACCCCGAAAGAAATGACCTCATGATGTAGTCTCTTGCTATCCAGGAGTCAACAGACCCCCAGATGCATTAGGCCGCTGCAGAAAGAGATGAGCAGGGAAATTTCTTACAAGGCTATAGCCAAACATGAAAATGTTGCCTCGATTTTATGAGCCTCCCAAGCCCATTTTAGGTTTCCAAACTGTAGCAAGCATTGCTAATCCAGAGCTTGATACAATTGTGCTCAGTTCAACATGTGTTACAATCTGCCTTAACTCTTGGATACTAAAAAGCAACAGAGGGTCCTGTGGCACCTTTAAGACTAACAGAAGTATTGGGAGCATAAACTTTCATGGGTAAGAACCTCACTTCTTCAGATACTTCTGTTAGTCTTAAAGGTGCCACAGGACCCTCTGTTGCTTTTTACAGATTCAGACTAACACGGCTACCCCTCTGATTCTTGGATACTAGAGTCATTAATACAGTCGACCGCTGGTAGCCGTGGTCTTGATTGCTATTTAATTCTATTACTAGGTGCCACTTTTGTACTCAACGCCTGCCTTTTCATATGGTGACATGGTCATTTCTACGATCACAGTTGTTTGACCAGGCCTATTGCACCATAGCATCTGACTGGATAGGACTCCTAGCACACAGCAGAGACAAAACCAGCTTTAAAAAACCATCAGAAAGCCTAGAGCAAGGTACTTGTGGGAGCTAACTAGGAAATAACAATGAATTCATTTTCAGCAGCTGTAGCCGCACTTTGAATATTTTTAGCCATAAGATTCAACCAGCTTCAAAACCTGCCAATAAGAGCCCTCCGCCAGAGTCAGGAATTGTAACTAGCACCCAGACTCCAGCTTGTAATGGAATGCGAGAGCCAGAAAAGCGGTTGCTTGGGCAAGATAAATTAGGAAAAGGAGAAACCGAAGCAGTTTTCAGTGGTGACGTGCAGAATTTAGCCCAGTGGGACAGAAGGTTTTTTTTTTTTTTTTTTTTTGGGGGGGGGGTTTGGGTGCAGGTAGGGGCTCCCTGTGAGAGATTCACAACCAAGCACCGAACCTGAAATTGTGTGATAGGGCTCTTGCGAGAAAGGGGTTTCTCCTGCTTTGTTAGCGGAATTATCAGTAGCAGGGAGTTGACTGCTTGCCAATTGACCATTCTTCTAGCCCAGCACCAGAAGCTGTCCATGGTTACCAACAGTTGTGAGCTTTCACTCCTCCATTGCTAGGGCTGCATCAAGCTCTCTAGGAATTTGAGGCAGCAGCAGAAACCCTGGGGAAGCAGAAGGAAATGAAATGCAGGGTAGAGCTGTCAGGGTACATGGGCAGAAGCTTCCAGAAGAGAGGAGAAGGCTGGAGCATTGGAGGGTACTGCTCTAGGGATGAGTTCCAGCGGAAGGGAAGCACAGCCATCAGGAGAGCCCACATTTTGTGGTGCTAAAAAGGAGTGGCACCAAAATAATCTGCAGGAGGACTGGAGAAGTGAGGCAGGGAGAACTGATGAAAGCAAGGCCACTGCCACCTACAAGAAACGAGTGAGCCAGCAGTAGCCACAAATATACCTAATAACATTTCTCAAGGGGAGCGAGAGGCTAGTACACGTCACCAGATATTATTATTTCCAAAGCACATTTAATTCTTCATGGGAGGGTTTTTTTTTTACCCCGTCCCTCCTCAAATGCATTAATACTTTTTTATTTAAATATATCAGCATTTCTGAGCAGCCTTATCAATGCCAATCCAGTATGCAAGTGCAATGGAAGCGCAAACATTAGGGGAAGGAAATACGCCCATTTCAACATTACAAAGGAGTTATTTGAATTATGAAAATTTCATTTGCACCAATTTTTGTATTTGTCGATTCATAAAGTGTTATTCATATTTTACCATATTTCTTTTATTATATGGATTTATGGCAAAACTACTCTTAATTCTGGCTGCAATGAGAAAAATATATGGATGGATATTTCTATCATCTTAAGAAAATCCATCCGGATGAAAATGGGTCCATGATTCTATTACCAGGTGCTCTTTAGAATCAAGCTGAAAGTATTCTTTCAGGCACTAGGGAGAAGGAGAAATTGCATGATAAAAGCACTATACTCTGCAAATACGACAGAGTCTGGAGTACACAGTAAAAGCCAGTATTTTTACTTTAGTGAATGCAGGATACAAATATTTTACAACAACTTCTAGCATTTTCTTAACCATTTGATAAAAAGTTCACTAGAATATTTATTGTATAATGAAGAAAAACAACACATTCAGGGAAAAATTGAGATTAACTTATTTTTTTCTTAAAAGATTCGTCTCAAGGATGGCAACAAAGTCCAGCTTGTGCCGCCAAACGGCTTATCATTAAACCGTGAACAGCTTCTTGTGTGAACTGTTGACTACAAACATTTACCAAATACATAAATCTCTTTTAAAAAAGCCATTTTAAATATAGCAAAGCAGTGTTCTCTTGCACAGCAAAGTGAAGAAAGTTTCTACTAAGAAGTAACTGTTTACATTTATAAGTCTTTCTTTCACATTCTAATTTAACTTCTTCCCACGATCAACTGCTAGGAGTTATTATGTTCCTTATTTACTATATATTTCTTGTGCGCATAATAATTCAGAAAAGTTTTTGATGCATTAGTGTCCTTTACAATAAAAGGAAATGCTAAAGCATTTTTCTCCAACAAACCCCTGATTTATATATATATTTAAATACTATTAGTTAGAGCTCAAAGATGATTTGTCATTTTAGCAGGTACAACTCTCGTGAATCAATACCAGCCAAGTAGGTTCATACTAGATTTGATCTATTTGCAACCCTACCTTGAACTGCATTTATTAAATTTACTTAATAAAAAATGCTATATTGATTTTTTTAATTGCTGAAATGTTCTCCTGTGCTGTGTCCTTTCTTCTACAAAACACTTTTACATCTCCTAAAAAAAAAAAAAAAAGTATGTTCCAAACTTACACGATTAGTGTTATTAAAAATCTGAGTTCTCCTATGATTTTCATGGTGTGGAGTTCTTCCACAGATAGATGGGATGTTGTTGCAGAGACTTATCTACTGGAGTCCATTACAGGGCTATGGGCAACAGGTTAACAGTCTGATCCTCAATTCCTAAGAATTGCACAAGTTTTACATTAGTCAGTTGGTGTGATTTAAATACAAACTCCAAACCTTATGTAACATTGTTTTAGAAAACAGTAATAGTACTGCTTACAAACCTGCATAGAAATAAAGACTATTGACATACAGTCAGCAAAGCCATCTCATAAGGCACACAAGAAAATAGACAGTAAATGTGAATGCAGAACTCCCACTCAAATGTACAGCAAAGTTCATATACGTGCATAAATAACAAAAAAAATCACATAACTTTTCAAAGCATTAAAGGTTCCGTGAAACGGTAAGTGAACTGAAATACTTTGGAAATGCAGTTTTCATTTGAAAATTGAAATCCTCTGTAGGCTCTTCTGTTGCAGTGACTACTCTAGTTTCAATTTACTAAATGTAGATTAATTTGAAAGGAAGTCAAAGTTTGCCTCAAATGTTTTAAAAAATTCTGTAATTTTAAGTTACACTGACAACACAACAGATTTAGTCTTGAAATCCACCTGTAGTACATTTGTTCTTGGATCATTCCGTGTACAAGCAGATGTCAAGGAGATGGCTATACACACTGGATTTCCATTTCTACCTCATGTTTTTTTTAATTATAGCATCAACTGAGTGACGTTACTAGAAAATTTCCTTAAAAAGTGTTGAATGCCCAAGAGAAAAATGTTTCAATAAATATATAGAATTAACTTCAAAGAATTTTGTGTGACACATAAAACAACTTCAATTTTTCCCAAAATTAGAGTGGCTAGTAGTTAGATTTATGTTTCTTAAAAGTCTACATTTTATTTTGTTCGTAGTGAGGAGGGATATAATAATATTGCATACACAGGATGACAAGAGAAGTAGTAGGGATTTGAAAGCACACAGAGTTTTAACTCAAAACATAAGTTAAGCACATACTTACTAAAGCAAAGCGAATTGTGTCAGATTTTTGGCCCCCCCTTAGCGACTTACTCTGTACAGATCCAGTTTTAAGTAAATCTTTGCCAAACTTCAATAGATTAGCAATAGCAATATCAGTTTAAAAGCAGAGATTATGGTACTCCTAACATCCCTGAATGATGGGAGAATTTGCTGCTGTATTGGAGCCAGATCTTGCAAACCCTTACTCTTGCATTAGTGAGCCTCCTTGCATGAGAAAGAATTGCAGGATCAGAACTTTAGCTACTAACCAGATACACAGCATGTTGGGCATTTGGATTTCTTGCTCAATTTTTTTGAACATTAGAAGGAGACATGAGAGGATTTATTTCCAAAGCAAATGTTTTGTCCCAAACCACTTACCACTTACAAAACCTTTTGTGCTCATCTGATACGTGTTATCATTTCCCTAACATAAGTAATTAGGTCAAGTTTTTCCACTGAATATTTTCTCACAAGAGGCAGTTTTAAAATAATGCCTTAAAATGTGTTTTAACAGATTTTTAATATTTATGTGGGATGAACTTAACACCGGATTTTTGTTGGTTTTTTTTTTTGCCACTTTGCTATTTATATACATATATATAAAATGTATAATGAAGCTTAACCATACAGCACAGAGATTACATTTTAACGGCACACATTCACCACCAGTGAAGGGGACAACCCCTTTATACATCCTCTGAAAAATCTGGATAATAATATTAATAATAATTAAAATCCAAAGAAAGTACAGTATATTTAACAAAATAGTAAATATTAAACAGTGAATACTCTACTTAATAAGGACCTCGCCTTTTTTTCAAGTTGGCGTCAATCCACAAAAATATACTTTTTAATCTGGTGAACGTACAATACATAGGTACTTACACCAAAGGTGGTATATTTAAGATGCTATATACACAAAGAGTTTGGCTCAAATTTTAATTTACATATAGAATAATAAGTGTTCATGGCTTATTTTTCCCCCAGCGTTCTGCCTGCAAGTTTTTTTTTTCCCTCTTCTGAAAGCAAAAAACTAGAAAGTCAAAATAACAAGATAAAACTATACTCTACAAAAAGCTACATCATACAGCTTTGGCTTATATAAATAATTCATAGCAGAATGTGTCCAAAAGTACTGTATATAACTTTTATATATAGTCTTCAATTCATAAGGGTATTGTTTTCTTTAATATAAAATATACATGAGCTAATCCGTTTCTTTCTATATTTTTCAAAGATAGAACGTAAAAAGAAACTTTTCAAACATATTCCAATTATAACTTAATATATTAATTTTATTTTGTTAATGCTCTATTTTCTAGGCTATTTTCTGAATATTTCATGCGAGTTCTCTATGTCTTCTCTCTCTCACACTTTTTTTTTTTTTTTTTTAAGAACCACTTCTTTGACCCAATACATTTTTTTTGCACGTGCAAAACAGGTTTTTATACCTTCAGCCCTTCGCCATGCACTCTCTGCAACAGAGACCCATGCCAGGTTGGGTAATATAAAGGACATTTTATGTACAGTATTGCTTTCTTTTTCCTGCTTTTCTACTGCTCTGCTGCTACAAAGCATTGTTTCTTAACTACAAGTAACCATACAGCTTTAATAAAACACATGGGGACATTACTACAGGGGAGCCCTCTTGGTTTCTGCAATCTAGTGTGGCAGGATTATAGATGGGTACAATGTTTCTTTGCAGAACAGGTTATATTATTAAAACAGCATGTCCGGGTAAGTGCCAGACTAGACCAATACCTATAGGATTGTTTTGTTATATTTTTACCATGGGACATCTGCAGCTATACAAGGAGTTTGTAGTAAGTGCCTGATGATTTTGTGTATGCTACATACACTCGCACATATATATACACATGTGAAGATATATATATATATGCATGTATGTATATACATATAAATATATTTATTTCATGTCCTCCTTTATATATTTAGATATGTCAGGACAGTTCACTGTGATAACACAAAATAGAAGTGGCAATGCTGAAAGTTTATGTTGCCCATGTGTCCACCCTCATTCGTTTCACTGATGGGCTCTCTCTATCTTCTGTGTTTGGTGGTCTTCCCAACCCAACAGGTGAATGGAAATCACTTCTTGGGTCCTCCCGGTCACTGCCATCATAAGAACTGCTGGAACTACTGAGACTGTCAACAGGGGAACGACCCATTTCCTGCCGTGATTGCTGCTGCTGCTGCGGAGGGAACCCAGATGGAGTCACACGGTCCCGTGGAGGTGAAATTGGTTCGGACTTTATGTTGATGTTTTGGTTGGTATTAATGGATAAATTTGAACCCTGAGATAACTGGCCTCCAGCACTGGGGAAATAAAAAAAAAAAAGTTACAATTGATATTTATATTTAAATATTAAGCGTTGTGAAATCTTGTAGCCCATACTCAAACTGAATCCGAGCTAAATACAGAAATAAAAAACATTTATTGAATGCTTAGTGGAAGACTCAAAGCTGAAAATTGTGAATTAAAGGTGTCCCAAATCCTGAACTAATTCACAGAGAGCTGGTATTTATTACATACCTTATTGTTCAGGAAGCCCCAGATGAAGCATAACCAATCAGATTAAAGTGTCTTTTAGCAGGAAGAAATGGATAAAATTTTAGATACAATTGTTCCATTAGTGCTGTGCTCTTCCGTGGAACTTGAGTGTCCAACTACTCTGTGGTTTGTTCTTACGTATTTTATTTGTGTTTAAAGGAATTAAGACAAATAGAAATGTTTAATTTTTTGAAATGTGTGTCAAACTTTCAGGTAGGTGTTTTCTTGGTAATGTTTGCAGAGTGGTGACGTTTGTCAGCATTATTACTTACACAGAACCAGCACTGTGTTACATACTGAACAGACAAATTGGAAGGCAATGTACCCCCCCCCTCTTTTTTTTAAATAACTACAGTAATTTCACAACCAGTGAGTTTACTGGCAAACACATGAAGAATGTACATACGTGTGCATTGAGGGAGAAATTAAAGTAGAGTCTTATTGAATAGTGTCAAATGCAGGATTATTCATTTGTAATCAAAGTAGCAGATGTTCCCAGTCGGGTGTGGTAAGTTAACATTACAGATCCACTTACACAAGAGAGCTAAGGGCTGCTTGCCCTAGATGGTGCTGTTGCCAGGCAGATACCTGTCCTAAAGACAGCATTCCTGGGGAGTTAAAGCCCTGCAGGGCAGACAGGTCTGCACTAGTCAAGGAGTAATCTGAAAAAGAAGCAAGAAAAATAGTTTATACTGTGTTCAGTTATAAGAACCAACGTTTTAGCTCCCTGTTCAAATCAGCTACAGGCTGATTATGCAAAAGGATCCAAAAGGGCAGACCCTTTCATTTGTGTGGTGTTCCACTGACGACATAAGGGTCTGCTCACACAGATCCCTTTGCAGGATCATGGCCTCAGAATGCTCTCTCTTTGCAACCCTGCTTCCAACTCCTAGTTGCTATTGCTTGGTTTGGGTTTATTTACACCAATAAATATGACAATACATGTATTTCATCCAACAGGTCTTCTCCTATGCATATAAAAGAAAATGTTCATTACTGTGCTGGTTTTACCGTGTACATTTCTGAATATTTTGCTCTGTCCAGAAACTTCTAAATAAAATAAAAAAGTGGGCATTAAGACAGGCCACTAAACCAACTGAAATAATTTAATATCATAAATCTGGCATAAGAGAAAACCTGTCTTGTGTTCAACCCTCGACACAGTGGGAGAGCCAGATTCTTTCCTCCGATCCAGCCCCTCTGCTCTGCTCAGTACATGGCCAGCTGAGAATTCCTCCAAAAGAGGCGACATCCCAACTGGTATAGCCAGCTCCTGTGCCACATTGTCTTCTGCCACTGGTGTAGGGGGCTTGGCTGGATCACTATTGTGTTCTAGCAATTCTAAACTGGTAAAGTGTCTCATGGAGATCAATGCATGCTAGCATAAGTCAGAGCAGCCTCTAGGCTGCTCTAACCTATTCTGGAGCAGGAGTTGTGCAAAGCAGATAATCAGGGAACCTAGTACCATCTTCCTGAGGGCCTGTCCCCTTCTCCTGGGCCAAGTGGATGTTGGCCCAGAAAATAATCAAATCCTGTAACTACAGCTACTTTATAAAACTGCTATGAAAATGTACCATCTAAGGGAAAAAATGTACTCACCTGCCTTTATCATAGTGATGGTGATAATGTAAAAGCTTTTTTTAAAAAAAAGCTAGTTCAGCAAAAAACAAAGCAAAAAAAAATCTCAAATCACAACATTCATCTCCTATGGCATAAGGCAATATTTGCAAGACATATCTAAAGCTCTAAAAGCATCACTGGCAGTCTATAACGGATCAAACTCCTTTTCCACCATAATTCAGTTTCATTCTTCTATTCATGTGGTATATAACTGATGACTTAGTCAAAGCCTAAAAACTAAAGTATTCTTTTTATATATAGCAAGAATGTGTCATGCAGTTGGATATAGTTTTTATATGCTGATTGAGAGGAACACTGTACAGTTGTAATCAACAATTCAATTATTGGATTTTTTTTTTTTTGCCAGGATATAATGCTTAGATAGCTCTCACTGCTCATTCACACATAGGAAGTTATTTTCAGGTCATCATTATCACTTATGCTTTCCTTTCAGGTTTTAAAAGAGAAAGCTGCAAACATTTCTCTGCTCTTAATCACTTTGCAATACAGTTTCCTTAATATAATTTCTGATCTCTTGTGAATGAGACAAAATGTCAGGAAGAAAAAAGATACTTTGCATTGCCATAAGAGATTAACTAACCATTTACTTAAACGGCATCTTTCTGGAGACTTACAAATCAGATTTATACATTGACACCTGTCTGAAATGACAGTCAGTTACTATTTATAGTTCAATTTCTCATGAGATCTTTTCTAGGACTACACAGTCTAGTGTGACTGATTTGGAGCTGCTCTGTAATAATTTATGAATACTGCATGTGCTGCTTGCCTGATTGCTGGAAAGCTATTTACTGTATGCATATGTATATACATAGAATCATAGGGTTGGAAGGGACCATCTAGTCCAACCCTGTGCTCAAAGCAGGACCAATACCCCCTTTTTTTATTTATTTTCCTCCCAAATCCCTAAATGGCCCCCTCAAGGATTGAACTCACAACCCTGGGTTTAGCAGGCCAATGCTCAAACCACTGAGCTATCCCTCCCCCTACATGCAGACAAGGAGCAGGTCAATAGCCCAGATAACAGCCTCTCAGCAAACAAGGGCTACTTGTTTGCTACCAAATTTAGCTGCTACTGAATTTAGCTGCTACTCCCGATCCCTGCTGAGTCCCCCAACCAGTTTCACCAGGCTCAAAAAATTCAAGAGAAAAGGATTTAGGCCTGGAGTTGAACACATTCAGAGAGAGCGAGAATGAAGGAGAACCCATAAATTAGACTTACTGGGGTCCCTCCTCATGAAGATGGTTAGACAGACATGCATGTAGACTTTTTATTGTTTTAAACCCCTTTTCTATTAGGCTTTGTTCCTGCTGTTAAGGGACACAGTATTCAGTGCTAGTCACAGCTTCTGCAGGTACCTGAACCCAGTCAGACCTGTTGGGGTAAACACCGTGTTACTGTGGGCATCCTGTAGCCCAGGACCTGCTCTAAAAGTGGGAGAATCATGGGACTCCACCCTAGTGGAGTTAAAGACACAAGGCCTCATACCTAAGGGGTCCGAGCAGCAGCCCTGTAACTACGATTTGTAGATCAAGTGGGCTACGGATTTTGACTCTAGAGCCTGCACTAACGTTCTGTCAGTTAAGGACTTGTCCCTTCAGGGTGCAACAGCTGATACACTGTATATGCCTTGGAAGATGTAAATCATACACTCTCTGCACAATTTGTCTCTCTTAAATCCAGGCCCGAGTATCTCTTATAGAGTAAAAGTACGCCCAAACGTTGTCATCTACAAACACGACCACATTCAGAAAAAGCTTAGAAGTAGTACTTTTCTGATTGTAAATTCTAGAGACTTTCTGTACTGGATTTATAGCTATATGTGATTAATACCCAAACGGTGGTGAAAGAGTATGCTTGTCTGTGCAGGTACTTATACCATACCCTTCAATGGGGTATTAGATTGCTATTTGCATACAGATAAAGGAAAAGAAGGTTGGATTTTATTATTGTGGGTCCTATATTGGACAAAACGAGATACAGATTTAAACATGTAATAGCTATCTTCCACGATACTATTGTTACATTAATGTTCTGTGAAATGTGGAGGTATTCCATGTTGTAGCTTTGAAAATCTCATCTTTTGAGGCAGAATGAAATTTCAGCTACCATTGCTGCCAAAGTTCCAACTGTATGAGTCTGGACATATTCTCAAGGTATAATACTGCTCAATAAAAGCAACAAGAAATCCAAGTTAACTAACTAGAAATAGCTCTTTTGCACACACGTTGATTTCTAAGCTCTGTCTGCACAGGAAGTTAGACTTGATCTGCAGCCATGATCTTAGGGGCTGAATTGCGAAGACACCAATTTGTAAAGATTGTCCAGCTACATAAACTGTGGAACACACGGTGAATGTGACCCTCTGTCCCTATGTCTCTTCAGAGAAAAATAGGTTTAACTCCATCCTATATCTAAAAGGTAAGGAGGAGAGCCATCACCGTCTGTCTCATCCATGTCCCCAAAGGACATTACAATCTCTTCAGACCTCTGAAACTTCTTTCTCAACAACTTTCTCCTTCTCACCCAGAAGCATCACTAAATGCCAAGAGGTCCAAATCTGAAAGCAGCATCTGGATTCTAGAAAAATGTGCACTGACAATCTCCAAGTACTTCCTGATTTAAAAGGATTCACATTTGTATTAATCTTTTGTTAGATTTCCAGTCCGTTGCCCTGGAATTGATGCAATTCGTACATGCTCAAAGGTGCTGCTAGGTGAAGAATAACGTGCTACATGAGTCAAGAGCTCCAGTGTCTCACACAGTAGAAATCTTAAACACGGTATGCCCTACGTCAGCGTTTCCCAAACTTGGGACGCCGCTTGTGTAGGGAAAGCCCCTGGCGGGCCGGGC